GGTGAGCGCAAGGCAGAGCAAGGCTATGGTGAGCAAGGCTTTGGTGAGCACAAGGCAGAGCAAGGCTATGGTGAGCTGCGCTCAGAGCAAGGCCATGGTGAGCGCAAGGCAGGGCAAGGCCATGGTGAGCAAGGCTATGGTGAGCGCAAGGCAGAGGAAGGCTATGGTGAGCAGAAGGAAGGTGGTGGGTTCATGGACAAGGTGAAGGGCAAGATCCATGGAAAGGGTGGTCAAGAGTAGAAAGGCGAGGAGAAGGAGAAGAACATCGATCACTGTGGTAAGTTTTATATGTTAATGCAGGGACGGATCTATAATTTAGGTTTTAAGGTTTTATTCATTTTGGAAATTGTTTAAATGTTATATTTATATTTTAAAAGTTTTATAATCTAATCGTGCCAAAATGCAATATTACGTTTTGACATGAATGGATAGACTTTTGACATCAAAAAACTTTTTTTGTGTGGCTTGTCTTGTAGGTTGATGGATTATTGGTGAAGTGCTGATCTGCTTGTGGGTGTGAAGAATAATGAAAAAAAGAAAAAGAAAACAAGAAATATCTTATATAGTTTCTACTAGTTGCTTGATCTACTTTCTACTAGTTACTATCTACTTTTTAACAATAGAAGTACAGCGAGGGCACTGTAACATATTTTTTGGGTAAAAAATTTAAATTGTCCACAAATTTTGCAGTCGATTTTAATTTGGTCTTTGAATTTTTAATTTTCTCATTTAGTTCATCAACTATTAATTTTGTTTTAGTTAAATTCTAACATCAATTTTTGATGTTTAAATTGGATTTAGATCAATTAATGACCTATCTAAATTTTTCCCTAGATCTTTTACCTCAACTAATACTGATGGGACTTTTCTGAAATACCCTATGATGAAGACACGTGTCCTTGGTTCTACTAAGCACTGTTGCTAGGATCAAGCACCATCGGCGCACGGATGTCCTCGCCCCCGAGGTACCGTCGTATAGGATCATAGATTCAGTATNTCAAAGACTGACTAGACCGTCGGAGGGGATACGCCGAAAAACACTCCGGCGCCCTTCTAACTTGTTCTTCTTCGTTCCAGGAACCCCTTNCATGTTCTCGGTCAGATATGTACCTCGGTCGGTAACCTCCCTCGGTGCCCGAGATGAGCCTTTCCTCGGTGCCGAGATATACCCTCATGAACACTTCCTCTACTCCAGGATAAGCTATTGACGTGCGGGTCATTAGCCTAGACTAGCCTAGGATATTCATCATGACCTCGTCTTACACAAGTAATGTTAGAACGTACTGGAATACAGAGGTAACAGCCAATAAGGGATGGACGCGTGGCATATGATATCACATCAGAGACAGACAAACCGCATGCCGTTGCTGACACGCGACTTGGGAAAGCAAACAATTAATTGCACCATTCCCTTGATGAGACCGCATTCAATGCGGTAAGGCTCGGAAATGAAAGGCAATAAATGCTCCTATTACAGAGCATTTATTGCATCCTCCCCGAGAGGAGCACATTGTACCGTCGGCATCCCGATGACCCAGTATTGATTGCTCGGGACCCCGAGCAGTTAATTAGAGAAGACATTCCTCATCAGAATCAAATGTACACGCTACCTGTGCCTAATGATCACCTACTGACCGCACTGACAGCAATCATGAGCTTTTAAGGTATAAATACTCCTTGCAAAAGGCAGAGCTGGTATGCAACAACAAACTCTCTACTACAATACATTTTTCTCAGTGTTTTCTCCTTCCTCTCTCTCACTCAAAGACTGACTAGACCGTCGGAGGGGATACGCCGAAAAACACTCCGGCGCCCTTCTAACTTGTTCTTCTTCGTTCCAGGAACCCCTTTCATCCCCACAGGATCGTTCTTCCTTTCCCAGGATCTCCCGTTGCCGTTCCGGGTTACTACCGTACCTTGCAGGCTGTTCCAAGCAGCGTGCTTGTTCACTCAACCGGGCCACCCGAAGTTCAACAAGGGAAAGCTCTGTTCCCGTTTTTTTTTTTATATTGTGCAGGATCTTGCACTCATAATCTGGCGCCGTCTGTGGGAAACGACTAGTTTTCCGAGTTTTCTCTCTATAANATGATATCACATCAAAGACAGACAAACCGCATGCCGTTGCTGACACGCGACTTGGGAAAGCAAACAATTAATTGCACCATTCCCTTGATGAGACCGCATTCAATGCGGTAAGGCTCAGAAATGAAAGGCAATAAATGCTCCTGTCACAGAGCATTTATTGCATCCTCCCCGAGAGAAGCACATTGTGCCGTCGGCATCCCGACGACCCAGTATTGATTGCTCGGGACCCCGAGCAGTTAATTAGAGAAGACATTCCTCATCAGAATCAAATGTACACGCTACCTGTGCCTAATGATCACCTACTGACCACACTGACAGCAATCATGAGCTTTTAAGGTATAAATACTCCTCGCAAAAGGCAAAGCGGGTATGCAACAACAAACTCTCTACTACAATACATTCTCAGTGTTTTCTCCTTCCTCTCTCTCACTCAAAGACTGACTAGACCGTCGGAGGGGATACGCCGGAAAACACTCCGGCGCCCTTCTAACTTGTTCTTCTTTGTTCCAGGAACCTCTTTCAGCCTTACTGGATCGTTCTTCCGTTCCCAGGGTCTCCCGTTGCCGTTCCAGGTTACCACCGTACCTTGCAGGCTGTCCCAAGCAGCGTGTTTGGTCACTCAACCGGCTCACTCGAGGTTCACCAAGGGAGAGATCCGTTCCCGTTTTTTATATTGTGCAGGATCTTGCACGCACAATCTGGCGCCGTCTGTGGGAAACGACTAGTTTTCCTAGTTTTTTCTCTATAAAGAACAGTGACCATGGTGAACACTCGACAGAAAGGGAAAGGACCCCACCAAAGGAGTCTCGAGTTACAAGCTCCCTGTCATCACGGAGGGAGGGATCACACCAATACGAATAAAAGTGCCTCTACTCGGTCAAGAGGGGTTACCCCTCAAACCAGTATGGGAATCAGGTCAGGGGGATCAGCCCCCTTGGCTCGTCAGCTGGCGGAGGTAATTGAAGAAAAATTTGGCGATAGATTACGTCAGCTGGAGAAGGACAATGTAAACCTCCTTAGCCGGCTTGACGAGTTTGCCACCTCAGGCAGAGGGTCGAGGGATTCATTCCTTTCCCGTGGACTTCCCGCCCGTGAGGCAGAAACGAAGGATCTAAGAAACCACCTAGACCACAAAGCAGAAAGCTCTAGGGCCCCAAAGCGACCCAGAGCCGGCGAACATCATCATGACAACCAGTCCAGAAAAACAAGGCCATTGGCCCTGGACGACCTTCGACGAGGTTTGTCTAGACGGAGGAAGGGAGATGAATCCGAGGAGGACTCAACCCAATCCACACGACGCCCAGGAAATGAGGGGCTTACCGATGAACTCAAGGACTTCAGAAGGCATCCCGTCAGGGAAGAAATTGATCTCAGAGCCCGGTTAGACTCCAGGAGAAAGGGTAAGGCTGTCCAGGATGAGGCCGAGGACGAAGTCATACAAAC